CTCCAGGTTGTGCTGTTGTTCAGCATCTTAGCTGTAGAGGGCAGTGTCACTGGCCCTCATATGTGGGATCCGAACCGGGGCCCTCTGGCGTCCCAAGCAAGTTCTTAACCATCGCGCCACTCGGCCGGCCCCTGACTTCAATTTTAAATCTGGCAAAAACTTTGCTCAGATTCTCGGCCAAGCTCCCACCCAAACAACATAGACGACCACTGCCAGAAAGAAAACTCCTTCATCTCTAATACCCGAAACTTAAGGCTTGCCTACTTACGCTGCTTTTCAAGATGTCCCCTCCTCTCTGCAGGGACAATGCGAGCCCAGAGACCTGACTCTAGTCTCAGAGCCAGCAACTAGTCCTGTGACTCCTGGGCTTGAGCTGTCAGGGTGCCCGTATCCTTACATGTAAAATGCATCTGGATCAAAACCTTTTGAATTTTTTTCTGCTCTAAAGGTTTCGCAATCTCTAACCTCTCTAATTTAAGGACAATCCCAAACTACATTTTTCTTCTGTGGATCCATCAATGCCCAGCCCAGCAACTTATTACAACTCTCCATTCTCAGGACGGCATTATAACAAATGGACTTAAATTACAACAGTGTGGATTTATATTTGCTAACAAAGCTGTTATAGTCTTGAAACTGTGCCCATTCATACTGAAAATCCTTATTATTTGTTGCCCTGGCAACTAAGCCATGCCAAGTTGATGAGGACCCAACTGACGCTAAGGCTGAATGTCAAAGAGAAAAGCCCAACCCAAAAACAGAAAGGAGTCACTGTAGGGCATCATGATGCCTAATGGCAATGAATAAACATGAGAGGGACAGGCCTGAGTCACAGCAAAGGACTTAAATTGTTCTTTTAAAAGAGGATGCTGATTGTGTTCGGCAACAGGCCATGGCAGGAGAGAATCAACCTTAGGCTTTTCGGAAGCTAAAATACATGTTTTCCTCAGTGGAGGAGTATACCAGAAGATACACAAATGTTCTGTTTTCATAATGAAAAGAACGAGTGGTTGAAAATAATGACAGGCTGAAATGAAATCCAACTTTCATAAGCATAGAGAAGGCTTAATGGAGCCACTTGATTATGCAGAGAACATGCTCCTGCACAAACCTGCCAGTTCTGGCCCAAGTTCCACACTGACCAGCCTCTGTGTGCCCCTCACCTCCACCACTCCTCCAACCACAGAGCTCTTGACCTCTACCTCTTCCCCATAGGACACTGGTGCCTCCTGTGTAGTTTCTTCCTGGCAGTATCTGGACCCATCAGAAAGCAAAGGAATCCACTCCAAAAGCCATGCTACCACCAACACCCTCAGGAGGCGTCATCACTGGGCTTCTCGATGCTCCAGCAACACACTGGCTAGAAGCAAATGAACTCTATGTTGGTCCTTCCTTTTTCCAAGAGACCCCGTGTGTGGTGGAAAAGGGGCTGGCCAAAGCTGCGTTTGAGTCCTAGCCCTGCCACTATCTAACACTGCTCATTCAGGCATTCAAAATGCACCGAGAACCCACTATAGCCCAGACACTCCGTTGGGCATTAAAGATAAAAAGGTGACTAGGACACATGAGGTGCCTACCATTATGGAACTAAAATCCAAAGTAAGTGCGCCTCCGTTGCCCCATCTGCTCAATGAAGGCACTGGACCAAGTAATCGCCGAGGTTCTTTTTGCATTTAAAGTGCTCCAGTTATATGATCGGAGTTACAGCCCTGGTTGGCCATATGTATCTGTGTGGCCGTGGATGGGCACAGCCTCTCTGGATCTCAGGTCCCATGTCTAGAAAGCAAAGCGGTCAGATGTGAAGATGTCCCGTTACCTTATGCAGCCACAGTGGAAGGTTTCCAGAATCGCCCTGCAAGGAGGCCTTCTGCTGAACGGCAGCCCAACAGTAAGAATCCACGAAGGCAGCCTGACGCCAGGAGAAAGAACTTGGGGAGAAACAGCTTATTTGTGTACCTGCAAGGCAAAGACAGACCATTCCAAAAGAATGAGAGCACAGCGTCTGGGCCCTTCCCGCCCCACCCATTGCTCCCTCCCTGCCTCGGGGTTTTTAAGTGTTAGCTAAGTCACAAAGCACCATGACAAAACTGGGGACAGGACTGAAACCCAACACCCAAGTTTGTAGTAAAGCTGAATATTTCAGAGTTTTTAGGTCAACACAGGTCATGACAGCAGCTCGGGCTCAGCTGGAGTAAAACTCTTAAAAGAAGTAAAACCACCATAAAAAGAAAAAGTGAGCAGGAAAAGACCCAGAGCAAAAAGTGACCAAAGGACACATGCATGGAGTTGGTTTCCTCTGGGGTGAGGATTGAGACAAGGGAGGGGGGTTATAGGGTGGGGAGGGGCCCGGGAAAGGACAGTCATTGCAGACAACTGGACTAGAAAAGGAGTCCTTTTAGAAAGAGAAACAAAGAACTCTGAGCCTGAGAAAGGGAAGGTGGATGGAACATTTGGTAATACTTCACTGGCTGACAAATCAGCAGTTTTCCATCTCAAAGAAAAAAGGCCCAGGCTGAAACTGCAGCCCAAGCAGTTTCCATTTGGCAGGCAGATGCTCGAGGTGACAAACCTCTAGACAGGGAGGTGGACGCTGGATGGGGAATCGCGAGAGCTGGGTCCCAGCCCAGGCTCTGCTGCTAACTTGCTCTTCCAGGAAGGCGCTCTGGAACTTGCTTTTCTCCGCTGCAAACTGAGGGCTACATCACTCAGCAAATGCTACCATTACTTACTCCCTGGAAGACTCTTCATGCTCCCGAGTGCCTGTGTGCTCCCAAGGCTTTGTGGGAAATTGGCCAACAAGATTTTTGGGGTGCAGGGCTGAAGCTGTGTACCCCTCCTCAGCAGCAGGCAGAGCACCTGGCACTAAGCCTCTCCTGGCAGCCCTGAGCCCAGCCCAGCTTCTCTGCCCCATGGGTCACATATAGAAGAGAGAGAGAGAGAGAGAGAGAGAGAGAGAGAGAGAGAGAGAGAGAGAGAGTGTGTGTGTGTGTGTGTGTGTGTGAGACTTAGGGATCAGCTGCTGAGGCCAAGAGCAGGCACACTCTCCTGCACATCCTACACAGTGCGAGTGCTAAAGTGCTTGGGCTCTGATGTTAGTTGTATTTAAACCTAACTCTGCAACTCAGGGCTGGGAGACCCCAGATCACTTAATCTTCCAAAGCCATAGATCTCCAAAAGGGCAATGACATTAATGTCTACAGTCTTAGGAGAGTGTCTGGTTCCCAGTAGTTCCTTGGTTAAGTATTACATTCTTCTATACGAAGTAACTAGCAGATTCTGTTACAGTAATACCTTTAAGGACTGGGCCATGCCCACCATTCTTTCTTCCCACCCTATAGAGAAGTAGGAAGACCCGGATCTGGACTTCCCTAGACCCTGAGACATAAAAAGCCTCAAAGGGTCACCTTCCTCTGGAGAGGCAGTGGCTTTACACTTGTGGCAGGAGAGGGCAGTGATGGGGTGCAGTCCAGAGAGTAGATTCTTCTGTAACAGCCAAGGAGTGCTACAGCCAAGGCTCTGAGCACCCCTTCTTCATCAGGTGCCTTTATGCCCAGAGACATCCAGAAAGGACTTCTCAGCAAGAGCACTTGGAGATCATTGTGAAAAGTCCCATGCCACAGGAGGGCGTCCTGTAATAGGGTAAGTTCTTGCCAGAGAGGACGGGCTTAAATATGAGTTGGGGGTAGGTGAAGTGTTTCAAGACCCCTTCCAACTCTCTTCTCCCATTGAACTTGAGTTCTTACATTTTATAAAAATAGAGCAGTCAGGGCAGCACTGGAACGTGAGGATAATGTTACATCGCTCATGTATTAGCAGGACTTCATCAAATGCTTCCTAGGTGGTCCCACCCACCAAGATTTACTGGGCATGATGACAGAGACACAAAAGGGACAGGCAGGCCTGGGTTTAAACTGGATGGCTTCTGGCAAGGTGCTTGCTTGGCAACATCTGTCCAAATACTGTCTCATGAAAATGGACAGGTTAGGATCTCATAAACATCTGTCTGGCCCATATGTTCCTTAGGTACAGTCCTCTTAGTAAATGTAGCCGACATGGAGTAACATTTTATATGAAAATGAGCTTCACTTCTGCGTTGGAGCTTCAGGGACCTCCCACAAGGCAGCGTTGGAAACTGTTGGAGCATAAATAACTAAACTTTTGATACCAAAGCTTTTGCAAAAGAAGAAGGAAGGAAATATAACTGAGGCTAGAGAGAGATTGAGGATGTGCGGAGCTCATAATAAATGTTCTTTGTCTTGGCATAGACTAACCCCGCCCCCCAGTCAGTGGGCTTTACATTTGTGTGTCTGGCCAGATACAATGAAAGATCACAGGGAGGAAACGTGTGCTCATGGGCCCTGTGGAAGGAGCCACACATCTGCTAAGTGACTCAACCACAGAGATCCCCTCCGGGCCCTGCCTTGGCCTGGAGCCCAAGGTGCGAGTCACACCTTTTTCCTGATTGGCAGCTCAGGCAACCCTTAGCACAGCTCAGGCCTGTCTGTACCTGTGGCTGCAGCAGAAGCAGCTGGCGGAGAACCAGAGGGCAATGTGGCCTGAGGGGAGACAGGACCGGGGCCAGGGAGGGCAAGCCCGTCCAGCAGTTTGTCAATGGCACCAGCACAGCATGTGCAAGGCTCTCTGTTCTCAGTCCAGCCTCACAAAGTGGGGCTTTGGCTGAGTTTGCTACTGTCCCTCTCTTTAGTAAGCTCTTCTCACTCTTGTGCATTACTAAGTCGCATCTGAAGGGCTGTGAGTTCCGAGCAAGCCCCCTTATAAACATACCCATCCCCCCCCCCCAGGGTGCTCACGTGTGGGAATAAGTGTCCCTTACTCCTTCTGCATTTAAATGCTACATGCAACAGTGGGATGGCATAGGAAGCGGGCCTCCTGAGGAGTTAAGGAAACGCATCAGAACCACAAATTTAACAAAAATCAAACACGAATAGAAAGATCTAGCTAACTGGCTGGGAGGACTTTAGAGGAACTTTCAAATGGAAGAGATTCTAAGCTGAAATAACTGCCACACTGGAGAGACTCAAAGAGCAGTAGAAGGCAAGCAAAGGAAACTACCCCCATTTTAAAGATCAGGAAAGTGAGGCACTGAAGTCTCATGGCTAGTGGGTTGTAGAGCTGGGCATCATCCTGGGTCTCCATCTTCACTTTCCGCACATGAGAGGAGGCAAAGAGCACAGGTTATCGAAGGAAATTGGATCAGAGATGGTGGAATGAGAAGAAAGGAGACAGCAGAGTTTCTCTGAGGGGAACAGTAAATCCTGGGGTTGCTGTGCTGAGGTACTAAGGGAAAACAGTGTATAATAATTATTATAACAATTATAACCATTACTACCTATATATAGCATTTTAAAAGTTTACAAAATGTTCTCATTTTGCCAAATAAAAAAATCAGTTCTAATCCAATTTAAGGTAACTTATACACACACACACACACACACACACACACACACACACACACACACACACCTCACACATATATACACACACTTATGGGATCCAGGTAGATCATAATGTAACCTATAAAGCACTGAGCTTGAAAGTTCTGGTTATATTTTAAGGTTGCCCCACAAATTGAAAACTATTATAACTCCTCAAGTTCAATGAGAATAATTACATAAATAGGACCCTGAATGTGTGAATACAGAGAAAGAGATGGGAAGTGGTCAGCTCTTAAAAATAAACACAGAACAGTAATAAGTACTTACAAGTATGAAATGGGTCTGAATCTGTTTAAAGAACCTTTGACTCAACATAATAAAGCCAGATGACCCAAAGGGTCTGCCCAAAGGTCCTTTCTTGCCAAAATCTCAGGGCTCCCAACTATCACAAAATAGAGTAAAATTCCAAGAATCTCAGAATAATTTCTCTTTCTAAAAAAGTCAAGGAATACTTTTCTATTTACTAGATGGGATGCTGCCCAATTCACTAATCATTCAAAAAGCCAATTAGGTCTTTAAATTAAAAAACAAAACAAAAACACAAACAAACAAAGAGCCAAATTCCTCCTCTTTCACCTCTCCAGCAGACTTCAACCCAGAACCATCTCTAGCCTCAAACACAAGCAAATAAATATATTTTGGAAATCCCAAATTGTCCATTACTGCCTTCATTTTTGCTTTGCAGGAAATGACCCCAAGGCACACATGAGTTTTAAACCCGTGCAAAAATATAAGTACTCTCTGTAGCCCAAACAAAACAAAATGGAATTGAAATGACCGTTTTCTTTTCCTTTAAACCACTTGACTCATCAGGTCTCTTTTGTCCAGAGCTAAGCCTGGCTTTTAGAGAGAACTCAATCAGGGCTAACATCTGCCCTTCTGCTAAGATGGGCCTAGTCAAATGTTATTTTCTAAACAAGTTCCAAGAAGTCCCCCAGACACTTCCTACCCACCCCATGTTGTAGAGGCAATACACTGTAACTGCTCGGCTTTTCAAAATGAATGGTTTTCCTCTTTGGGGTCTAACACATTAGACAAAGGCGCCCTTCAGAGCACAATGCTCTCCCAAATGTTGGGGAATGCAGCCTGTAGAGACCCCATGGAACAGGGTGTGTGACCACTGGGCCACACGGCCAAAGGGAACATATAACCAAGCTGGAGAGTCTCAGATGGAACCTACAAGATTCCTTTAATTCAATGAAGAATGATGGCATAAACAATATAATATGATATAGCCTGCTACGTGCCAGAGGAGAAGTGAAGAGGAACCTGGACTGAAACCACATCTCCAAGGAAACCATGAAGACAGAACCGAGCAATGGTTTGAGGGGTTTCTTTCCTGTGGAGGAGAGTCCAGTCGCTCAGCACACCCAGAAGTCTAAACCACACAAAAGAAGAACTTGTATAAATCCAATGTAAAACGGGAATTGTCCAGTGAATACAATTTTCATAACCTGGGTATCAGGGGGAAAAGGCATATGAAATCTCAATGTTGAGTAA